TTTTTAAATCAATGTAGAATTTCTATACTTCTGTGTGTTCACCTGATCATTACTCTTGTGTGTGTTAAACACAATCTGCTAAATATACTTCATTTCAATGAAAAATAAATGAAAAAAATATATAATCATAATTTATGACAAAAAATACTATTATAAACTAGGTTAGTGGATAATTCAGCAGCAAAAGTTATTCTAGAAAAATCATGGGTGCACAATAATTTTATAAAAACATTAAACTGAACTAAACATTTAGTGAAACAACATTATTTAGTGGGGAACAAATAAAAGTTAAGTGTAGGACAAAATTGGTAAAATGTTACACATTGCTCTTTGTATTGTTATAAAATACATTCATGAAAAACAAGTAGCCTAAATATATATATATATACACATACATATATATACACACATACATATATACACGTTACGTCTCCGTTCCCTCCTTCAGGGAACGAGGGTTACCATAAGTAACCGAGACGTTCCTTTGTTTCCTCAGTTCATTGTCGGTTGTTGTTTGTTTATGGTACAAACTGTTATGCATGTTTGTATCTTTTTGGGTTTTTTTTATCATATAAATACTAGGGATGCACCGATACCACTTTTTCCAGAACTCGCTCGATACCAATACTTTTATTTTTGGTACTTGCCGATACCGAGTACCTATACCGATATTTTTATTGCATGTGTAAATTTTTTGAATATTGGGTACAGAAACCAAAAGAGTATGTCTAATGTTAGTTGGTTTACTTCATTTATCAAATAGATAGTCAAACCAAAATTTATTCAGACACCGTCAACATTTCTCACATTATATTCGCTATAGTTTAGAAAATGGTAATAAAATATGACAAGAACTCAGAGTTAAACTGTGTCAGAACAAATTCAGCTTGATAATGTTAGATAACTTTGATAGAAAGGTATGTAACGGATTACAATCAACCAAAAATTATTCATACAGCTGTTATTATGACAGTATTTACACAACTATCAATACTTAGCCTTAATGACAGAATATAGTCTCCTGGTCATGCTGTCATCCAGCTTCATGCAAACCTGAACTTCAGATTTTTCCCAGACTCGGTCTGAATAATTTTTGGTCCCAAATTTGTATCAATTTTACTGGTAGTCCACTGTATGAAGAATTTTTGGGTAT